AGGGAAAAAACTTTGAAAATATTGTATGGAATTACTGTCTTATTTTAAATCAGATGTAAACAGAACTGAGAACAATAAAACCCTTATCAACCATGGTTTTTTTCTCCAGAAATTACCGAACCAATTAGTGATTTATATCCAAGCAGAGTATTTCCACAGCATTCTGCTCCATTATGTAGACTGTCATGTTGTTGCAAATAACGGACTTGTACAATAACGTATTAGGTTGACCCATAAGAAATTACTGCTTTGTAGTTCAAAAATGGCTAGATATTGGTACTAATTTTGTAGGTCAAAAATAGTTGAATATTGGCAATTTCTTATGGTTTGAACTTTATTATTATCTGGCTGATTTCCCTGCCCTATGTGTCTCATAATTTTAGAAACATACCAGAATGGGGTGCCTGGCTGGCTCAGCCAGTAGAGCATGTGACTCTTGAATTTGGGGGTCCTGAGTTTTGAGCCCCACAATGGGCATAGGGATTACTTAAAAAAAAAAAGAAATATACCAGCTCAACCTGAAAACAAAACCTTTCAGGTTTGCTTGAGTTTAGAACAAAAATAAGAGTTCTGATTTCTCAGAACTAAATTTCCTGCACAAGAACTTTCACCTCTTCAAAGCCTGAGCTCCATATTCTGCATCATATTCCAGGTGGCATCAAATGAGAACAAATTCTTGGAAAACTGAACCTGATTTTCTGGTTTCTGCTAAATACAGATAATCTTAGAATATACCTGAAAGGTATCAAACGCCCCTGCTATTATTCTCCTCCTAGCACTTAATTACATCCTTTCTTCCTTTCCCATCCTTGAAATTGAGTGGCCTGGCTTGATAATTCAGAAGGAAGAGGGTACCCTGGATGTGGTATTTGACCTTCTCAAAAGTCCCAAACATTTGAAAGGGCTGTAAATCCCCAGTAGCTCACTGTGATCGTATAGTGGTTAGCACTCTGTGTTGTGAAAGGGCTTGAAGAATATTTTTCTTGAAGAATACTTTTTTGTCTCATCCGATCTCCATGGCTCTTTTATCTTGATAAATGCAAAGCAACCCTTATAAATTAGATTACCACTTACAAACTAATATCGAAACTCTTTCACCACAACTTCGGTTCTCCCCTTTCAGCTGGTCAGAATGTACATGAAGCCACAAACCTTCCAGATGAAGAAGGAAGAACTCTTCCTTCTGTTCCCTTCTATATTCTCCAACATTCCATTCCCTTCCTGATTTGTGTCTGACCAGGAATGCTGTGGAAATAGTAAGCCTCTAAGGAGAGCTTGCATGCACAAAATCTTTGCCAATTTCTTAAATCATAGCCAACTGGAGGACAATGGTGTAAATCCTCATCCTTTAAAGGAAGTTCCATAATGGATTAAAATGATGAGTGTCCTATGTTTACAAATGGCAGTTCAAGTACTTCAGTACCTGATATTAATACAGTTTGGAAAAAAAGGATAGTACTTTATGCATAACGGGATGATAGAAGCTCTTCTCCAAGTTTATAGTAACTAAAAAATGTCAATGGGCATTTATAATGCGGGAGACCTTTAAGGATTTCAGCTCTAAATAAACTGATCTGACTCATATGGTCGGGGTTTTGGCAGAAGTGGGATTGTCTAATATGCATGACACTGATTAAAAACATTCTAAATCATGATGTATCTATGCTTACATCATTGCCAAAATGATTCATCTGTGTAGGATATATTCTTATTGCCAGAGATGTCACGTATCGTCTTGGCTAGAAACACATAGTCACATCCCATTATGGCGTACTCTCAGAGTTTATCCAAATTCTTTCCTATTCTGGAATTTTGTCAGGTTAATACTGCTTGACACACGTGGTCTTAAAATTTTCCATTCTAAATCTACTGCCATTTTGGCATTTGGCTGGATCTGGCCTTATGTGACCGGCATCACACTGAGAATGTTTAGTTTGCTGAATTTTAAATATAATGTTTATCACATTATGGACCTGTTGTTGGCCAAGGAAATCTCTGTATTAGAGCCTTTTTTCTGAGATACTTTTCCTTTTAAATGAGGCCATATAGTTTTAAATTTTTATTTGATATTGTATTTATATAACATGGAAAATCAAGACATTTTGCTTAAATCTTAGTTTAGGCATTGCCATTTTATGTCATAGACAAATTTTAAAACTGGACAGTTTATTGACTCATAGTGCAAAACCCTTAGCACTGCATTTCTTCTTTGTCGTTTGAAATATTTATTGGTATTTTGGGACTGGTCATCAAAAATCCAGAATTAAACATGGGCCCTAAACGCAACATTTATGAACATGCTCTTGCCTATATTTCATTTTATAATCAAATTCTGAGAACGAAGAGTTTATCTGTGAAACACAGAAGGGTGACCATCCTAAATCCAGGCACTGTTGGCTTTCTGAGCATAGTAAGCACCCATTACATGGTGCAAAGTATTTATTGCAGATGGGCCCTAGCTACTAAAATGCATAGCTTCCTTTCATGTTGTGACTAAGTAATAGATCTCTTTGGGCTAAAATGTACAGAAAGTTTGCATACTGATTGTCAGCAGGGAAAACTGCCATCAAATCAATGCATATAACTTTCCTCACAAATTGCAAACAAGGGAGTATTGGGTACCTGTGGCACTTGGTCTCTTTCACCACGAACGCCAGATTTTTCTGAATTGAACTCTGACGTCAAGTTCAGTGATCCTCGGTGTCTGGGGAGTTGCGGCGCTACTATTTCTGGATTTGTTTTCTAAAGCCAGTTCTCGGCTAACATCGTCCAATCTCTTACATCCTTCCTTGCACCAGTCCTAGCTGGTATATTCCTTTTTGTGCTGACTTTGATTTACGATGTTTAAAACTTCTTTAGGAAGTACAAAAAGAAGTTTTAAGAAATCTTAAATATCATAACTTAGTTTACTTAATAAAATTAATTTAGAGAAGTTTCGAATATTCTATTTCATTTTACTTGGTGAAATTGATTTTTTTTGTGAGGTTAATGTTAAGAAGTTTTGACTATTGCTCTGTTGTTTTACTTGAAAATAATTTTAAGAAGCTCTAAATATTGAAGTTTTATTTTACTTAACGCAGTTAGTTTTTAGGAAGTTTTAAATACTGTGTCATACTTGGGGCTCACTGGTCACAACTTGGGAGTGTCATCAAACCTGGGCCAATAGTCCTTTTTCTAGATTTGATATTCTTTCTTCTTGATCTTAAAAACCCACTGCCTCCCTTCAGTCCCCCACTCCTTCCTTATTCCTCTTTTTTCTTCCTCCCGCAAAAAACAGTCACAACAAAAACCACTGCATTTTTAAAATGAAAAGCTAAAAAATAAAACCCAAGCATGGGACTAATCATGGGCAAAACATCTTCATTTAAAGAAACCTTGACTCAAGCCTCCGTGGAAGCTACTACCCAGTTGCACTGAGTCTTCAAGGAACTGCCGTGGAGCCCACCATCAGTGCACATCGTCTTGGGGTTCAGGAGGCTTGTTATGCTTCCTTCTTAAGGGACTGACTTCAGGAGGAAGTATGGCAGCCCCCTTCTCTGTTGTGTTTGGCAGCGATGAGCAAAGTGCCCTGGTGAATGTAGGACTTGCTCCATCTCCACAGCGCCCCCTTTCCCAGGAGCTACCATATATGTTTTTATTGCCCAGGTCTGCATTCCCACAGGCCTCAGAGCCTGGAGGGCAGCATGTCATTCTGCGACCTTGCAGCTCTGCCACTCTGCTTATCATTTAACTGAAAGGCAGCTGAGATCTGAGTATATTCTTTTCTTTCCTTCTGCTACCCCTAAACAGGGCATTAGGCATTCTAATGAACTCAACCATAGTTCTTTCTCATTCAGTGAAAAATACAACTTCATTTGTCATGTCAGTGTCTGATTCCAAATGACATTTTAATTTTGCTAAAGGAATTGATGAGAAGTGGCCACAGAAAAGGGACAAGCGAGCCCCTGGAACCCTTGGCCCACAGGAAGCCTGCCATCAGGCTTGCTGGGTATGCCATCTTCAGTACCAGATGAACAGAGCAACTGATACTGTATTATAACCACACTGGCTTTGTTTTCACCATTATCTCTAACAGGAAATTCTTGCAGCCCCTAAGAGAGAATATCCTGGGATTCTCACACCGTCATTTTAAAACATTCCCCTGAGTTTATAGCAAGGACAGGAAAAAAGATACCTTCTTATTTATTTCTCACTTGTTGCTTTCAAAGTTTTTGTACATTTATCATGTCCCTTTTTTGTGATATTCACATCCATTCCATCCATAGGGTGGGGAAATGGAGGGTAGCAGACCCTGTCAGTGCCCAACCTGTGTGCCCTCCTAGTCACTATTCTGGAGCTCAGGGAAGGCTTCTCACGACAAACACCATCCACCTGGGGGATTTTTGCGGCTGCAGGAATGTGTTCAGTCTTCCCCGTGGAGAGCCGTCAATGACTTATACACAGGGTTTCTGGGTACATGGCCCAGCTTGCAGCTTCCTCACCCCTCAAGGAGGACCTCTCTGAGGTGTGTTCTGTTAAGTCTCCCAAAGGTCCCCAGTGGGATTGAGCCACCAGAGCCTAAAGCAGTAACCTGCCCATTAACATAGCCTGAATTGTCTTCCTTCCCTGACTCACATTCTCACTCCCACGCAGGGGCTTCCTGGGCTCACCTCCTAAATTAACGACTTACATCTAAATCCTTGTCTCAGGGTCTGCTTCAGGGGAAGCCCCACCTAAGACACTGGGGAACCAGAGAAGATTAATATGTGCTAAATGCCACACCGCTCCTTACTGGAGAACCAGGGCTGGGACCCAGGGCTTGGGACTTAGGGCATATTTACCAAGTGAGGTTGCCCCTTGCCAATGGCCAGCACATTATAGAATTGGTCCCAGGACTTTTGGGCAAAAAGAAGACATGATAGACAAAACAAAGTCGTGAGATGGCTACTCCTTGCCTTTTAAGGACCCAGTCACCCCCAGCAGCAGGAGGAAATAAAAACAAAACGAAGGGCAGTAATTACCTAGCATGACGAAAGGGACTCCCAGGAAGGTGGAATTGTATTTCCCACCAGTAAGATTGATGATTCCGGCTGCGGTGAGAGTGGCCAGGGTTATGGTCACCAACCCGAGCAGGCCCAGCCAGGGTTTGCTGCGGACGCAGTCCTGCATTGAGCAGCACAGGATGGCCATGGTGACCACCAGGATCAGGCTGGTGACCAGGTAACGTTCCGATACACGGCTGGTCTTCTGGAAATCTTCCCTCAGTGAGGAGGACGTGTAAGGGTACATTTTGACTTTGCTATTGGATTTCTGGAACAGTCGGACAGTGTCGCAGAAGCTGGACTCCCACCTCTCAGCCACCATGTCATTGAGACTGTTGATTGACTGCAGGTAGTAGGTGAGCTGGACGGCCTCTGCGGATTTTACCCGGTCCTTGCTGTGCACAGTGACGCCTCCAAGCTGGTGTCCGTTGTACACTGCCCTCCCGTCCTTTAAGTGAGTGATCGGGTATGTGATAGCAAAATTGGTCCGGTTGGTGGCCCGAGCGTTCTTTAGCTCCTCCAGAACATGCACTATGTCATCCACGATGCAAGTCTTATCATTATTCAGGATACATATGTGGGCGAACGTGTAATTAAAACCAGGCCTTGGAACCTGGATCCTGGTCACAGCAGCATGCAACTATGGGAGAAAAAAATGAAAGTCAATTTATTATCAAAAATAAGACATCAATGCATGACATTAGCTCTGTGGATTCAAATATCTCTATTTGGGGTGGCGGAGTCACTTGGGTCATCTCCAAGCTGAAGAGTTCAAATGAAATGTTATAACCTTATGATAGAAATAGGTAGTAAGGATGCAAAACCAGCATCAGCACAACTTGGGAACTTGTCAGAGATGAAAATTGTCAGACTCCACCTCAGACCTGGTAAATCAGAAATCTCTGGGGTGGGGCCCGGGAATCTGGGTTTTCACAAGCTCTCCAGAGGATTCTGATAAAGGTACAGTTTGAGAAGAGCTGGGTCAAAGCACCAGCATTATTTCCACATGTTCTCTTCTTTATTTGTGACTCAGTTGGTCTATAAATGTCTGAAAAATCTCACATACGACCACTGTCTTGAAGATGTAATGTACCAGGTGAACTAAGGTATGACTTCTCGTGGAAGCCCATCCTCTGCTGCCAATTTCTAGGGCCCCTAAATGACTTCACCATCCAATTCAGTCACTTGGTGCCATAAAAGACAAGAGGCTCACCTTGAGGGACCTCATATTCTCTGGCTTTCCTTGTCTGCTTATATGGGAAGGGAGACGTAACTGCAAGAGTCTGGCTGGGCTATATGGCGGTCACGCTAAAGGAGCACAGTGGGATTTATTCTACACACCTCACCCCAAGTCAGATTCGCCATGTCCAAGCTCCATACACCTGTGATCAAAGTGGACACTGGGAATACAAGCGCTCATTTAACAACTCCTACCATATGCCAGGCACAATTCTAGGCCTTTTATGCAGATTAACCCATTTCACCCTTACAAGAAACTACGATGTGGGTACAAGTACTAGGCTCATTTTACAGATGAGGAAACAGACGGTTGCTTGCCCAAGGTCGCACACATTGTAAGAGAAAGAGAGAGCTAGGCTATCCCAGGCAGCCTGGCTCCAGAACCTGTGCTCCTAACCCCTGACCACAGACCTCTAGGCTGACAATGCCGGGAGTTGAGTCAAAGTTCTTGCTAGCAACTAATGGTTAAATTGGGGCTTGCCCTGCCCAAGTGCTAAGGTGGCCTAAAAAATCACAAGTGCTCAAGTTCAGATGTGTAGGAGTATATGTACTCTACAGTCTAAGGTGAGAAAATAAGCCCTTTCCTCTGTAAAATGAGCCCAGTCTGCAACATGAGGCCAGCGGTAGACATGTAATTGAGTGTTCAGTAAATGAGTGTGCCTGTGCCTCGCACTGAGTGGGCTCTCGCAGGAGCAGAGATAGCCACTGTGTATCTAATGAAGGAAGAAAAACATTTCATATGCAAAGGGAAGGAAATTTAACATCCAGTTCTACACCGTGACTGTGCCATTATAACTCATAACCTTCTGAGCGTCTCCATGACCCTGATACATTTTCTCTTAAATCTGCTCTAGATGGATTATTTGTGAAGACATTTTGCTGTGCATGTGCCAGGGTGAGTGGGATATTTATTATGCTTTTTGAAAATGTCGGAGGGGTACCAGCTGGCAAAGTCCTTTAGTTAGCATAGAGCATGAGTTGTTAATCCTAATTCTCAGCGCACCCTCCCCCACATCTCCTCATGGGCACCAACCGTCAGGTTCAGGAAACACTTCACCATACTATGTTTGGCTGAAATAATTTTGAGTTCTTTCCTTCACACACACACACACACACACACACACACACACTCTTGATCTCCCAGAGATACTGAAGAGATTATTTTCACAAAACTCTTACCATCTGCTTAATTTTTGCTTTGGTGCTTTGGGATTAATGATGAACAAAATGTCTTCAATGATTTTAAACTCTGTGTCTTTTTATCCATTCTTCTCTAAGTATGGCCCAGTGAATTTTGATTAAAAGAACTTCTAACTACAAAAAAAAAATCCCAAATATAAAGTTATTTTAGGGGAGAGAAGAAACGAGAGGAATTTAAAGACAAGAGAGAGTTTTGATTAAGTGTTGAAAGAAAGACTTTGGGGAAAGATTCAGAATAGGCTAGAAAAGGAGTGGTATTGAAAGCATGCATATGTGTAATATTTAGTGCATTGTTTGTTCCTATGAACAGTCTAATAAATCTCCCTTAGAGTGATTACTAAATATGTCAAGAGAAAGATTGCCAAATAAGATGGTGTTAAGCCACAGGGCCAAACCCAGTTATAGCAAGGGGATATTTTCCATCCATTCTCTAAGGCGACCATGCCCTGCTGGGTGGGGAGTTATAAACTATTTAGTGATCTGCCAACTCTGCAGATCTGCTGCTCCGATCCTTGGGACCACAGACCGAAGAAAGCAGACACTCTGTTAACTCCCGTACCACCAGATCATAGGAGGGAGACTTGGGAAAGCAGACCTTAGTAAAGTTTGAGAAGGAACGTTTCTTAATTCTCAGCACCACAGCTGCCGTGAGACGCAGCTGCTTTGAATTGCCAATGGAGAGGTGGGTAGAGCGTGTGTCACTCTTGCTTCTGAGTGGCAGAAGCATCCATAGAGGGAGTGTTGGCTGTGGCCACCCACCTGGCAGGAGGCATCTGTGGGATTCTACTGTGGGATAAGAGATGAGAGGATAATAAGAGGCATGCAGAAGAACCGGAACTCCTCAGTTCTGATCTTTGGTTCTTATGACTGCGTATCAAGTATGCACACGATGTATTCTTGGCCGTCTGCATAGCCTACGGCAGGTACGCTGCACATGCTACCTGGATATCACCCTGTTAGGGTTTTAGAATGCCCTGATTTACTTTCCTAAGGGATCCCCACTTAGGACAGCAGACACATTAGTAGGTGTTCTTAGATATATTCCCAGGGGAAAAGGGAAGCCAGAGATTGAAGCTATGCTCTTTCTCTCTTTTTTTTTTTTCCTGTATACTTACTTTAAATTTCTGCACTGGGAAAGAAAGGTGAAAATGATGACAGGTTAATTTATGGTGACTTCATCTTTGCCTTTAAATTAATGTTTTCTCTTGGGGCCAGAAAGGGGAAAGCAAGCCAGGAAAACATGAAAGCATGATAGTGAAATGGTGACTAAGACACCTCTGTCCACGAAATGGACAACCTCCAGCCACACAAGCTTGTTTTTTTTTAAAGATTTTATTTATTTATTTGACAGAGAGTTGGAGAGAGAGCACAAGTAGGCAGAGAGGTAGGCAGAGGGAGAGGGAGAAGCAGGCTCCCCACTGAGCAGGGAGCCTGATGTGGGGCTCAATCCCAGGACTCTGGGATCATGACCTGAGCCGAAGGCAGCCGCTTAACTGACTGAGCCACCCAGGCGCCCCCACACAAGCTTATTATTGAGCTTGGTAAGAGACCCTCAGAAAAAACAAGGGAAAGTGACACAAAGTAATAGTCTTGACCCTTAATACAGTCTGAATCTGTCATGTGAATCAACACATAATCCATGTTTCCATAACTGTGTATAGATTCTAGATTATTCACTCAACACACATTCAATAAATACTCATCAAATCTACCGTGTTGTCAATAATAGGATAATTTCCCTGAATTTAGTGTGCTCATGCTCACACATGGACAATCACAGAAGAGATACAACATTCGAAACAAAGGGAATATTCTAACAGTGGACAATGCCAAACACTTTGTACTAGTAAAGCCCAATCCAATGTCGATCCTGATCACAATATTTTCTATTCTGTATTTGCTGCCAAAGAGGCCAGAACTGAATGTTAAATTGAGATTCATTCCCAGGCTCTGAACATACCATTTCAGTTGTTAGCTTCTTTGCTCTCATCACCCCTCAGGTTAAGAATGATAACAGTAGTAGTACTACTCTGTTAAGCACTAGCAGTACTAGTACTGCTAAGTACTAGTCTGCTAAGTACTCTTTACAGTTTTAAAAATTTATTCAATATAAGACTCAATGGAAATGATTAAAGGATTATCCTCATTTTATAGCCGGAGCAGTTGAGGCCTCAAGGATGTCAATAGGTCACCTACACTGACCCAGTGAGTAAAGGGCAGAGGTAGGATCTTGGGGGTAGCAGGATGCGTGGCCCTAGCCCAGCACAACTTTGAATGAGGACTAAGAGGATTTGGGGAGGGGTGAAGCGCTGTCAGCTCACCAGGTTCACATGACTGGCCATGGCTGTGATTGAGCTGTGGGATGGCCATACTTGGGGATCTGGGGTCCATTAAGAGAGACCACACGTAATCCAAACAGCCGAACCTCATCTGTAGATGGCAGCATTACGTGGCAATACTAATAGGTAGCAAAGGGGATGGGCTTGGAGCTTCCTGACTTTTCTTATTCTCCGTCCAGCCTCTGTAGTTGCCAGATAAAACTTTTCACAGACAGGCTTACCAAGAAGAAAGGCTGTGGGACACAATGGAATCCAGTAATAAGAAGTTTTGGCTTCAAGTCTGGTTTCCGCTGCTTCCACTGCTTCCGTGGGAATGTCAGAGACCCTAGGAATGTCATTCCTTCAGGTCTCAGATTTATCAGTAAAAAACAGGAGGTTGGTTTAGCTAATCTTTACGGACAGACCCTTTTGGTTCTAACACGACATAATTCTAAGATGAGTGACATCCACATACTATACGATCAGATGCAAGGTGAGAGAAAGTTAACTTCATAAATATCAATTTGAGATTTATTATAGCAGCTTGAAGTATGCTTTTCCAACACACTGAAGTTCTTTTTAGGTCAATGACAGATCTGATAGTAGATGAAACCCAGAAAGAAAACCACAGGGTAGAGAAAATAGGTTTACTGAAAAAAAAAAAAAAAAAAGACTCCCTTCTCTGAGTGATTTCCCGTTACTGGGGAGGCACTGGCTCTTCTAATCCCCTTCTGCCAGAGCCTGGGACAAAGCCAGTGTGGGTTGCCGGTCACGACAGGCCAGAGTCTAATTTCCTCTCTGCCTCTCCTTGGCACACTCAGATCTTCCTCAGAAGACAGCAGGGGCACCTTGTAGAGAGTACAGAAGGGATCTGGGAGGAAGG